TGGTACTTCCAAGGATAAAGGGAAGAAAAGAAAGAAGGATAAAGAAGCTGAAGAGGTTCCATATCAAAAGAAACAACATAAATAAAAGAATGTTGATGTTTGTTTCTTATATGGAGTTGCGAGACATAAGAAGAAGCAATGTACCAACTATTATGCTTGGCGTGCAAAGAAAGGTACACTTTTTAATCTAATTTGTTCTAAGATTAATTTGACTTCAGTACCTAAACACACTTGGTGGATAGATTCTGGTGCAACCACTCACATCAGTATGTCCATGTAGGGCTGCTTGATCTGTCGAAAGTCAAATGATGGTGAAAGATACATCTTTGTAGACGATGGCAAGAAGGACAAAGTTGAGGCAATTGGGACATTTAGGTTATTATTAAAGTATGGTACTTATTTGGATTTGAATGAGACATTTGTTGTACCATCCTTTAGACGGAATTTGGTTTCTATTTCTGTATTGGACAAATTTGGTTATTCTTGTTCTTTTGGAAATAATAAATTAGTTTTTTTTATAATTCAAATTTGGTTGGTATTGGTTCTTTATCTTATGTAGATAACCTTTATATGCTTGATACAGTTGTTTCATATCATGAAACCTTGCAATTAAGTACTCGAGGTGTTAAAAGAAAATTAACCAATGAGAATTCATCACCATTATGGCATAAGAGACTAGGTCACATATCCAAAAGGAGAATTGAAAGACTTGTGTCAGATGGGATTCTAGATTCCCTTGATTTTGCAGATTTTGAAATTTGCACAAATTGCACAAAGGAAAAACAAACAAACATAAGGAGATTTGGTGCCAACATACATATGTTTTAGAACTGATACATACAAATATTTGTGGGCCATTTCCTACAGTTTTATGGAATGGTCAACAATATTTTATCACGTTCATAGGCAATTTTTCACGTTACGGCTACCTTTATCTCATTCATGAAAAGTCCCAATCACTAGAAGTGTTCAAATTGTTCAAAGTTGAAGTTGAAAATCAACTCAGCAAAAGGATTAAAGACGTCAGATCTAACCGTGGTGGTGAATACTATGGTAAGTATGATGGTTCAGGTGAAAAACGTCTGGGACCTTTGCTAAATTCCTATATGAGTGTGGTATCATCTCACAGTACACCATGCCAAGTTCTCCAAGCATGAATGGTGTTGCTGAAAGGTGAAACAGAACACTCAAAGACATGGAAAGGAGTATGATTAGTCATTCTAACTTGTCAGAATAACTCTGGGGTGAAGCATTAGAGACTGCAGTGTATATCCTTAACAGAGTACCAACTAAAGCAACTGCTAAAACCCCTTATGAACTTTGGGCAGGCAAGAAGCTAGTTCGAAACACCTACACATTTGGGTATGTCCTTGCTTCACAAGTCACATGAAAAGAAACTAGATTCAAGAACGGTTCGTTGTTATTTATTGGATACTCAGAAATATCCAGGGGTTACAAATTCTATAATCCTTTACTAGATCAATTTTTGAGATGAAAAACACTCGGTTCTTTAAGAATGTTGAGTTTGATGGGGAAGATAAGGATAGGGATTTTGTTTTTGAAGAGGAATATGTTGATATTCCCACAGCTTTTATTGACATTGATCATGCTTCTATACCTGACATTGTTCAAGAAGCAGATCCAGATCAAAAAAATATCCAAGAACCTCTCATTCCAAAAAAAAACAAACTCTACCTCCTCCAAAACCTACGCCATTAAGGAGATCCACTAGAAAAAAGGAGAATTACAGTGCTAGATGATTACATTGTATTTCTCTAAAAACATGATTTTGACATTGGTGCGGTGGAAGATGATCCAATCAACTTTCGTCAAGCCCTGAAAAGTTCTAAATCTCAAAAGTGGATTGATGCCATGAATGAGGAGATAAAGTCCATGAAGGACAATGACGTTTGGGATCTTGTCCCATTACCTGAAGGTGTGAAACCCATTGGTTGCAAATGAATATTCAAAACCAAGAAGGATTCGAAAGGTGATGTGGAGAGATACAAAGCATGTCTTGTCGCTAAAGTCTTTACACAAAAAAAGGCATCAATTATAAAGAGACTTTCTCTCCGGTTTCATTGAAAGACTGTTTTAGGACAATAATGGCACTTGTGGCAAACTTTTACCTTGAGCTTCATCAGATGGATGTTAAGACTGTATTTCTCAATGGTGACATTGATGAAATAATCTATATGGTGCAACCAGAAAATTTTGTGTCGGGAGATGCAAAGAAGATGGTTTGCAAGTCAAAGAAATTCATCTATGGGCTTAAGCAAGCTTCTCGTCTATGGTATTACAAGTTTCATTATGTTATCATTTCGTTTGGTTTTGAGATGAATATAGGCATGTTGTATGAAACCAAGAGATTTATATCAAAGAAATTTGAGATGAAAGATCTTGGTGATGCTTCTTTTGTGTTGAGTATACAAATACACCGGGATCGCTCTCGGGGTACACTTGGTTTATCAAAAAAGAGCTATATCGAGAAAATTTTTAAAAGGTTTGGCATGCATGATTGCAAACCAGGTGACACCCCTGTGGCTAAGGGAGACATATTTAGTATTAGTCAATGTCCCAAGAATAATTTTTGAGATTCAAGAGATGCAAAAGATTCCTTATGCGTCAGCAACAGGAAGTCTGATGTATGCTCAAGTATGTACACGTCCGGATATTGCTTACATTGTTGGCATGTTTGGCAGATACTTAAGCAATCCTGGAAAGGATCATTGGATAGCAGCCAAGCGAGTTATGAGATACTTACAGATAACAAAAGACTACATGCTCACTTATCGGAAGTCAGATCAGTTAGAGATCATTGGATATTCTAACTCCGATTTTGCTAGATGTCGAGATAGCATGAAATCTACTTCATGCTATATCTACTTGCTGGAGGTGCTATATCTTGGAAGAGTGTTAAACAGTTTATTGTAGCTTCTTCCACCATGGCAGCTGAGTTTGTAGCTTGTTATGAGGCGTCCAATCATGGAATATAGTTGCAAAATTTGTCACAGGGCTGCGTATTCTGGATGGCATTGAAAGACCACTTAAGTTATTTTGTGACAATAAATTAGTAATACTATATTCCAACAACAGTAGGAGTTCGACGAAGTCAAAATTTATGGACATCAAATTCCTAATTGTCAAAGAAAAAGTTCACAGTGGACTTATATCTATAGAGCACATTGGGACAAACTCCATGATTGCAGATCCACTGACTAAGAGATTACCACCCAAGGTCTTTCATGAGCACACTGCTCATATGGGTGTGGTTTCTCTTTAGGATATGTCGTTTTAATGGGAGTTTGTATTTTAGATGCTTTTATTTATAGATACATTTGTTATGGATATTATAAATTTTATGGTTATTTACTGCAATAAAGTATTCAGTTTTCATTCACTCTGATTTTGTATGGTTTGATCTCACTAAGGTTTAAAGAGGACCAGTTGGAAATAGGCATGTTAAGATAACATTGCATGAAATTTTCATGCTACACATCCACACTTGATCTTTGTCATTAGTTGCATTGATATATGTGATCATTGATGGGTCTAGTTACGAAATATGTAACGACAATCACTTTGGTTCTGTATTGGTGTGGTTAATGGACAAGATTGTTAAAATATATAAAGTTTTGACAGCAAAACTCATGAGTTCATAAAGTATAATTCACGTTTTTAAAGCTACATATATAGCCCAAGTGGGACATTGTTGGAGTAAAATTAAATATATGGGCTTATATTTATTAAATAAATGTGAATTATAGGCTATCAAATAAAGTTAGGCTAATTAAAGTGAGTAATTTAAGTTTTGGGGCCTTAATTAATATATTATAAAGTGTGAGCATTAATGTGTAGAGACAAACGTAATTTCTATTTTTATGATGGGTTAAAATAAAAAATACGAACATACGCGATTATTTACGAACAGGTGTGACTGTTTATAAACAGATACGATTGTTTATAAATAAGAGTCATGGTCCCCAAATCACACAATGATTTTTCTATTCTTCTGATTCTAATTGTCAGATAGAAATTTAGACAGAAAACAAGTATAGATTTGAAATATCATAAAACCTCATACTCAAATATTTCAATCTTTTGTTATGGATTCAGATACGCTTCCGCAAATTTAATATTTTAAATCTTGATGATTCAATATGAATGTTCATGTTTATGTGATGGTTTTCACGTAATGAAATTAATCTTACACATAGTAGCCAAAGATCAAAGTAGCCAGCAAAAGAGACCATCCGTTGGCCGTCACGACAACAAACATGATTTAGATAGAAGATCGTCAGCTAGACCCAGTAATCTTTCAACGGTCGTACGCCTCTTGCTTGGTGGAGAAAAATCTTATAGTAGGATGATGAGACCTTATTTCGCTATGGAATTGGGCCCTGTTTCTAGCCACCGTCATATACTTTCACATGTTGCTCCTCAACAACTAGGATTTTCCCGCAATGGGCTTGCCGCTGCTTAGAGATAGGGGCGAGTTATACATGAGCTCGTAAGCGAAGTATGAAATGAACCTTGTCTATGCAACAAAGCAACTTCGTCTTGCTTGCTTCTAGCGAAGCTTTCTTCTACTAAATAACCCTCTCCTTGATTTAGAAGGAAAGAGAAAATCCAACCCCACTGAACTACATAGCATAAAACTACCAAGTCCATCTCATGTTTTATGAACGCCATTGAAGATTAAGTCCACCCCATCAACCTAAAATTAATTTGCTCGACTCTCCATCAGCTTCCCTGAGAAAAGATTCATCCAACCTTATATTTGTGTCATCACCACTTAAAATCGCAATAAACAAACTCGGGAAACTAGAAGCAGATAAAGAGCAAGTGCAGTGCAGCTATACCATTACCCAAGAAAATATGTGACCTTATAAACCTGCTTACACTAAGAGTTTCACTTATGAATTCCATTTCTAAAAACCCAACTGACAGGACTGACAAACAAAACTCTGTTGTAAACACAACTTCATTTCTAGAATTTGCCATCATACAGAATCTACCACAAGTAATCCACAGCCAGATTAAACACTGCCTTAGACTTTTGGCCACATTACATATACAGCACAAGTATACTTGGCATCAGAAACAAGTAAAGCATAACTTATCCCACGTTTATAACATACCATATTTCTCCTTGAATATTAAAAAATCATGACCCAGCCTACAAGTGAAAATGGTAGATCCCATCTTTATCACAAACATAACATTTGCAAAGGACCTCAAAAAGGAAAGTCTTAACACTATACTCATAGACACAATAGCAGAAGGGAGGGTTCATCCAGGATCTTCTTACTACTAAAGTCACTTCATTGAATATATCAACCATTAACAGTGGACTTGAAGTGACATTCATCAATTGTGGAGTAAATCAGCCCTTCTTCCTCAAGAGATCTGATAGCTTCCCTGTCAAATGACCCCAAATAAATAGAAAATCAAGTAATTAATATATTGCCTACATGCCAGTACACGTTTGTGTGTAAATGGGTATATATATATATATGTTAGAGAGAGAGAGAGAGAGTACTACAAGATCTTTTCTAGAGGAATGCTTAGTCGTTGAGCAAGTTCATCCCGATGCACTCCCTTCTCCTGAATACTGAAAAATTGGAAGATATCAATGAGGTAGTGCCAATTGAATCCCAAATGAGACTAAAGAGTGGGTCATAAAGCATACAAGACTGAATAATAAAGGATGTAGAGGACAGATAAACAAATAGAAAGAACAAGTATAAAAATCTGTGCGCACAAACTACAGCAAAATAATTCACAATACAACACAGCAACATCTTCAATATGGTATTGTGTGTACTACATACATATCACATTAAACAATTTCATGACCAAACCTATAGCATTTAGCCTGAAAGTTATCCAATTGTATGAAAATGCAGCATGATAGCTTACTGAAATGTCAGGAGCAATTTGCTGAGAAAGAGTGCTGCAAGGATGACTAGATGTCAAGGACAACTGAAAAAATAAGTTGTATTCACTAAATGAGCATATTCACCACACATTTCCATCTTGGAAAATAAATTCAGTTGCTATTCATCAAGAAGCAATATGTTCACTTAAGCTCCTTTGCCCCCCACCAGAGTCCTTCCACCATACAAGCCTCATAGAGGGATGATAGGACCAATCTAGTCCAAAATGGCAGCAATGTAAATCTGTGTCTCTATTAATCCAATGTGTCCGAAAAATTCACTGATGGGATTTTGTTTCATGATGAAGAAACTTTCACATAAGGTATTCAAAGTAGTTGGATAAAAATGTAGCTCACCTCGGTCATAAAATATGAGATACAAAAGTCACATCAGCTACCCCCAGTTCGCCTAAAAACCCCAAAAAGAAGTCAAAAGGAAGAAAGAAACCACACTCCACCAGAAACTTTTTTTATAAATGTTTTTCTTCAAGATGACACACGATTGGCTGCGCAACAAATAACACTAGTCGGGCAAAACCTAGCAAAAAAAAAAAAAAAAGAGGAGCAAACAAATATTTTGATTAGGCATTATAACCTACAGGCATTGAGGTTGCTGCAGATAGTCCATGACCTTTTTATCAATATCCTTGAGTCCATCTATGCTGTAGTGCCCAGAGAACTGAAAAGTGAATAATTTACAGCATCAGTATACAGCAAGCACAAACTATTAGAATACTGATTCCCAAAAATTGACTAGCTTACTTGATTTGGTGGGGCAGCTTGATATCCCTTTGATGGTGTGTTAAGACTTGAACTGGGCATATGGGCAGAAGTAGGGACACCAGTCTGTTGTGCCAATCACCCAAATAACAAACTCCATCATGAACAGCGAGCAAATCAAATATAAAAAGTTTAACAATCATTCATATTTGCAGATCATATAGAATTTGAAACAAATACAAAACAAATAGCTTAATACCCGTGATTTGGTGTTGTGGAGATGAACATATATAGACTCAACAAAGTGGTATGCAATCTGATTATAGTCCATCACAGGCCTGAAAGTCACAACCAAGCTTAAGAAATTAATATTCTGATAACAAGCAGAACAGACACCTCCCATGAAAACTAGAACTGAGCTACTGGTATTCCTTTGTGCAAATTTCACGCAGGATATGTCCTACAAAATTACACAGCAAAAAAAATCAGCTAAAACTTGCAAAACATGAGCATGAAAATTCAACATCTTCACAGGTTTTCAAACTATAACATGGCGAACTGTCCGACTCTTCTATAACAGTACCATACATTGAACCAATAACAATTACATTACAGCCAACTGAAAGTTGTCCATGAATAGGTTGGCAGTACAATTATCACAATTAACAACTAAAGAATACTCCAAACATAAAGTACAGGAAAAAAACTAGGGAAATCCAAAGCAAAAAAAATTCAGTTACACTCGCGTGATACAACTCACCTGCAAAAAAGCTATCATCCACTGTTTGTCCCACTTACAAAGGGGCACCCAAATAGATGTTTACATTTCAACCATGGAATCTCAGGTAGACATACAATTCAAAAAAAAAACTCAGGTAAAGTTGCAAAGCCTTTGGTAATTGGTATCAACTCAAGGATTATCCAACTCAGACATTCCTTAGGTTTCTAACCCAAGAACGAATGAGAACCACAAACACAAGGAAACAAATGTTTGTCTTGTAGAAAAACAGCAAAGGGTGGTATTAACATTTTCAGTAGAAATGGGACAAGTGGTCTAGAGATGCAAAGCCCTGGTCCCATTCTTGAAGTGTAAGAACAAAATGGGTCTTGGTGTTTGTTGGCTTACCCCAAGGCACCACATAAAACTGAGGAACCCGAGTCTCCCTAATTTGATTGAGAATCAATCATCAAATCAGAGCAGCACAGGGGAAGCAATCTTGGTAAGGTTTTAATTTGCATAGGACCAAGGGCACACATAGGCTATGCCTTCACAATGTCCATTCTTCTTATTGCATCCTAGGGATATTTTTTTTCTTCTCGTTCTATGTTGTTGGATCCTCCCTTGAGCATGCATGTGTTCTGTTGTTGAGTTTTGAGATTCGGGTTCAATTCTTGTCAATATTATATTGGCTTTTGGCTTTCACAGCCAAGGAGGTCTTCTTTATACAAGCATGGCCCCCACAATCCTTTTCTTTTCACTTTTTTGGACAAATGCACAATGATATAATATTTAATCTTATGTGGCTTAGTTTAAGTAATTTCTTTCAAGTTTCCATTGATTCCTCAAATCAGCACTCAACATATCCCCTAGTTGTTAGGCCCCTCTGCACAATAATTTCCCATCTTCAAAATTGACACATAACATTCATGTGATTTGTGAATCAAAATGTAAAATTATAATTTCTGTCCAAATTAACCAGGTGCTTCAGTCACTTGCCATTCCTCTTCTTTTACCCTTTCCTTTTCGTTCTCTCTCTCCCATGCTCCTTCTCCAGCCTGCCACTAACACACTGCCAATACCCACGCATGGCCATCTTCAGTCGTCCATTACTTCGACACCCTACATCCACCACTCTAGCCCCAAACCAACTCCTTACCAAACAACATCAAAATCTAACAAATTTCCTGACTAAATCAAAAGATGAGAAATGCTGTCAAATTCAATGTAACTTCAATAGAGCCCTCTGCCTTGGTAAAGATAAAAAATGGCATGCAACGATTGTGTATCTGGAGTAACATGGCCTTTAAGAATTAAGAGGATATGATGGGAAAGGCAAAGAAATTGGATGACCAACACATTGAGGTGTCAACGAAACACACTACATGGACCATATATTGTTCTGCCCCTCATGAAAAAGATAATCGTACTAAAACATGTCATGGAAGATGTTAGAAATTATGAACCCACTAGTTTGGAATGCTTGCTCAAGAAAATTGGCTTAACTTGTTTGGGCCGCTTGGGCTTAAGCCCAGAAAAGCTGTGTTTGGACTGTTTTTGGTAAAATTGTAGGATCCCACTAATTTGGATTGCTTGGAACAAGCACCAAAAAGCCTATTGAGATTATGACCAGTATCGAATGTCTCACTCAACTTCTGAATTTTTACAGATACCTCTTTCAAATTTTGAAAGTGACTCCTCCATGCATCTGCATGTGTGTGTGTAAATTAGTATTTCTTTTTATTTGTTTCTATATCAATCTGCATTGTGAATTCCATTGGATTTAAGTTTTTTTTAGTCATTTTGTTTGACTGGTGTTTTGCTTATATGTCTATATATTTTGCATCGTATACACATCTATGTACATCTATTAGTCTATCTGCTAGTGAAATCAAAAAGTTAGTAGAGACAAAAAAAGAAATATCTCATATTAAGCAATCTATTTGCTTGTGAAATTATGGCAAAGTGAAAAGAGAAAGAGATTATTTTCAGCATTTAAAGAAATGATTGCATAAGTGAATAGAAGAGTAAAGTGCAATGGTAGAGAGAGCATTTTCAGCATAGAAATTCATAAAGAACCGATTGCATAAATGAATAGGAGATCAATAGATGAATGATTGTTTGACTACACATATTGAAATGTATTTGATATCATTGGTAATAAGGTTATTAGACAATGCTTTAGAATATGAAAACTTGTTGAGAGCAGTCATAAAAGTTCATGCATTTGCATTTTTCGTCAGACTGATATTATTACTGTATTTGAATTTTTTTAATTGGTCTGTAACGACAAATTTTGTGTATTGCAACTTGTTTAATTTTCGTTTGGGCTCCAGTTATAGATATTATTTTTTTATTGTCTACATGGTCACATTGGTTTGAAAGAAAGAATTCTCTAAGACCAAATCCATTAGTTAAATAGGACAGTTAGTAGTCCTACATCCAACGAGAAATATCCTACAGCCTGTGCACTCATATGCAAGTGTGCAAGAGAGAGAGAGAGAGACAGAGAGACAGACGGGGGCTTATTTAACCTTTGTATAGGCTTACAAATAGGAATCATGCACCCAATTCATGCAGAATATCAAGAGGAAATGACAGCAAACAAGAAACATAGGGAATTTCATTGTCAAACAAGCTGTAAAATATAATTTGCCTAACCTCGGTCCAAGAAACAACACTCTTTAATTATATCGATCTAAACCGCCTAAAATCCATCAACAAAATGATGGTACAAATGTTACAAAACATGAGAGATATACAACTAGATATTACGTAAAACAATATTTACATCCCTCAAAATTAACAGGTTCTAAATCATAAAAAATAGCCACAAAATTCATACCTTATAGAGAAGACCACTAATTGCCTTTTCCCCTGAAAGCCTTTCAAGTGTCCATGAACACGAACATACATGCCATCCCTAATTCACAAGGCAAAACGATGGAAGTTATCAGAATTAAGACACAATATGAAAGTTACCAGAAGGAAAGCAGGTGCCATATGTAACAACATACATTATTCCCTCCATTTCCTTTGTGTCCACAGCTTCATTCACCCTAGCATGTACAATTTCGACATGAAATCAGAAGTTAAAATTGACATGATATACCAAATAAAATCTACAAAACAGAAGCAGATGAGAAAATACAAAGTGAACTAGCCATCTAATGGAATGGTGAAGTTACATATAAACACATATAACATAAACAATTCAATATGAGACAACAACAAAAAATGAATTCATAAAAGCATGTATTATATAAATCAAAAATTGGAAACTTTGAGGAAACTCACCATCTGTTGCAGTCAATACGTCCGGTTCCATCATCGAGCACAAAAGAAACATCAGTTACCCTTTCAGCCTTGTTATGTACCATCCCGACCAACGTAACCTAACCACAAATCAAACTTAAAAAACAAACACAAATTTTCAAAAGATGAAATAACAACAAACCCTACATTGTTCACATCAACGCCATCAATGAGGAAGTTTGATTTGTCATCACTGGACTGAAAAGCTTCACTAATTTGCTTCACGGTTAATGGAAGCAACGGTTGTGAATCACGACTCTGCAACGCAAACATAAACAGCCCAAAAATAAATTAAAAAAACTAGCCCCAATAATGTTATGATTAAGAGCTGAGAAACTGCAAGAAAAAACAAAATAGATTTAAATAACTTTGACCTAATATGTTCAGTTGTTCAATACGAATGAAGCAGATTCAACCCTACTCAGATTTTAACACAAATCAAGAAACAATAAATATAAGCTTCTCAATTGTTTGCCTTTGGTTCAGTTATCTCCGTAAATAGAGTCCGTAAGAATAAAGCAAACTACATGGTACATTTTTTGATGATTTTCACTAGTAAAGCAAAAAAGCATAAAAACCAGATTCTGATGGTTTTTCTCGCAGCTTCCTAATTTCGATGGGATCCAATAAATGGGTTTCTGCTTTTTTATTTGTTCTCTGTAAAAGAAATTAGCATGAAAATGGGTTTCTTGTGCGCCAGACACCATACAGAAGGGTATCTCTGAAAATAAAAAGAAAATCTTCAATTTGCAAACATACCTTGGCGGGAGGGAAGGTAGGATCGGCGGTTTGGGTGGCCTGAGAGGGCATGAAGCCGCCACCGGAGAAGGCGGCGTTGCCGTCGAATTGGTTATTGTACATCGCTTTGTTTCTCTCTCGCACAGACACAGTATAATCAGAATGGAGAGGACTTGGATTGTAAAAGTCTTTTGGGAAAATTAGGGTTCCCGCCAAGTTCATTTTTTTATAATATAATCTGTAAAATCTTTTTCCCGCTACAAATATAATAGGAGAAAAACTAAATTTTCCTAATTAGAAAATCTGACGCCCCAAAAATATCAGTAAAACTAGGGGTAATCTCACTTTGTAGCCCAAAAATTTTAAAAATTTTAATTTGTACTTTCAAAGATTATATTTTTTATTGTATAGTAAATATATTAAAAGTGTTGTAATATAACCCTTTTATTATCTTTTGTTGTTTATTCCGTCAAAAATTATATTACTGACGTTGACAAAATGAATAACAAAAACTATTAGCAAAATTATATTAGAGCACTTTTGATATATTAAGAGTGTAATATAAAAAAATTAATCTTTGAAAGTGTATATTAAAATTTTTTAAATGTTTTAGGGTTTAAAAAACAATTCTCCCATAAAACCAAAAAAATAAAAAAGAGTAGTTCTTAGCATGTCTAACACCATGAGATTATATTTGCCTGGGAGATTTCCTGCAATAGATTGAGATAGCAGTTCTCACGATGATGAACCTGAAACAATCACAAGGTCAGAAAAGGGGGTCGAGTGAACACTCGGCTTGTTCCCTCCAAAGCCTAAATCAGTATAAGATTGGAGGCTTGAGCACATTATATTCTCTATCTTAATTTTATTTTGCGTACCTTTGTTCATTTTTCTAAGAAGTATTTATATCTAGGTTAGCAATAAGTGCAAAGGCTTTAAGTTTCATCTCAACATTTAATGTTTGGCACTCTTACCCATGCGCAATGAGTGTTCCCCACTCAAATCTTCTTACATTTACTACTTTGATGATAGGACAAGTGCTCGAGGTCACACCGAGAACATATAGCTACCCCCGAGAACCCAAGTTTCTCTTATTGGTGCCTAACACCTACTCCTGAGTGTTCAATGCTCAGGGAACAGCCAAGGCGGTATACTTGGTGTAATAGTTATAAATGCCTAGCAATCATGACTGTAGGCTTAGGTCCTAAGGGTGCAATGGCTCATTAATAGTCCTATATTAGTCACTCACATCGCCATAAATGAGTGGTCGAGTTGTATTAAATGCGGATGTCAGTTTGCATACTCGGCTCCTCCGAGCCATTACTCCTCGGCGTCATTCCTTGGCACTTTTTGGGTTCCATAACGGCTATACCTGCACACATGTCGACTTGGGGGCTACTGAGTCGCCTGGAGTCTCGTCAACTGCCCCCCAGCCTCTATTTCTTTGCGATGTGGGACAGGTGGCGTATGGGGAGTGATGGCTTGCTAAACACACCTAATTAGTAGGGTGGTTACTTGCACATCTGGCGCCAACTTTTTCAAATTTCCTAATGATGACACGCCTTTTCGATTCCTGCCCCTTTTAGCAGGGTATAAATAGAGGATCCTTCGGCCCTTCAAGAACTTTGCATCCTTGAATTCTCTTCCAACCATTAACCACCGAGCACTCTTCTCTAATCTCCCGAGCATTCTTCCTTATCTTTCCGAGCATTCATCTCTTGAAGATCTCCACTCTGTAAGTACTTCTTCCTTTCTGATCTTCTTCCTCATTCTACCATCCTTCTACATTTCCTTTAGACTCCATCCATGGCTAGGACACATAGGACAATGGTGAGGGAACCCGTCAGGGCTGGGGATAACCATAGGTTGAGAAGAATAGAGGTGAATAAGGACAACATTCAAGCTTTTAGGGATAGGTACCACATTCCCAAGCCCGTTTTCACCTTTCCCTTCGATCCTCGTTACCATAGAAGGGATATAGGGAGTGTAGATATGATGCCTTTTTGGACCAAAACCATCATGGAAGGGGGTGACCTTTCCTCTCCATCCCTTCCTTCTAAAGATGCTGATGCACTTAAGGCTTTTTTCCCCTTCAATGTGGTGTCAACTTCTTCAGATTGGTCATGGGCGTGGTCGCCCTGAATGCTCGGCTCGGAGTGAATCTTGGGGTAGACGAGATCCTGTTCTGCTACGACTTGAGACTAGTAACTGGGGGCAGGTACTACGTCCAGGCTCGAGATAACACTATATATATGGTGACCCACATGCCAGACTCGGACAAGAGGTATGTGGACGATCTGATCATGCTCAACGGGATTTAGGAGAAAAGAAATGGACTCGAGTATAACGGATTGTACTGCCCCAAAATGCCGAAGGGATGAAGGTTTGTATTGTACATATCTTGAGATTGTTCGATATCTTGTTGTCATTTCTAACCTTCGCGATTTATTTTGCAGAAGGATACAGGTGTGACACTGCCCAATCCCTGAAGTCTGAAGGTAGATTTGGGGACTTGTTGAAAGTTTGGTCCTACAACCAGGTCAACCTTTTCTCCCGAGCAGCACATGTCTTACTCAACTACCAGCCAATTCTCTCAAGTCCCCCTGTCTTTCGACCTTTCAGTATGGGAGGACCGTTCTTCAAAGGAGGAGGAGGAAGAAGAAGAAAGTCTTGATGCCGAACGGACTCCACCCGACAACATGTTCAACTTTTCCTACATCAGCACCGAGACCCTCGAAGCCCGATCAATGGGGAGGCTTTCTAGGGTCGGTGGGCCCTTTGGCACCGCCCCGATCATTTCGTCGCCGTCGACAACCATCGCCTCCACCACCGCCTTGAAATTTAGTCATCCCACTAAGGGACTGACCTCCGCCACCCCCTAGAAGCCAAGGTACCTCCTCGGAGGAGAGGCCAGGGGACTGTCGCCACTGAGACTCATCACCCTCTGGCTCCGGGGAACGCCGGACAAAGCAATGCCACAATACTCCAATACCGGTCGTCCCCGATGAGTAGTCCCCCCGAGTACTGACTAGGAGGGGGAACCCAGTGATGAAGTCTGACTCCATTCTCCAATCCCTTGACATTGCATTCACCCTCGCTGGGAGCCTCCAGCTCGAGGCCAACATGGCCATCTATCGGGGGTCAAGGGGACAATAGGCTCCTGCAAAGTGTTATCCAACACAATATGCTGGTAAGTGAGCCAATCTTTCTGACTTCTTTTTGCCTTGCTTATCTGGTCATTCCTGACACAGATTTTCCTATTTCTAGGCTAGCCAGCAGATGGTGGAGGTGGTTGACCACTTCTAATAGTACAAGTAGGAGACAAGGAATCTCTAGAACGAATTAGCTCGGAAGGAGGAGCACATCAAAGGGGTGGAAAAGGACGATTGACGACCAAACCAAACACATTGCCGACCTGATCCGCAAAGTAGAAGCCCTCACTTCCGAGCTGGAAAAGACAAAGGAAGCTGAGGCCGCTGCTACGAAGAGGATAGAGGAGGCCAAGCTCAAGCTTTCCACCACCGATGTCAAGCTAATTGATGTCGAGGCCCTCGTGCACTAGGTAACGGCCAAAGTGCATGCTCTACAAACAAAGAATGCGGGGGAGGTCGAGAGGATCAACAAGGCGTTGCAGGACTTGTACTACCGTTTCCAAGACAACATGGTCCCGACCTTTGAAGAAGGAAAAATGAAAGCCTTTAAGGAGGGTTGAGATAGGGACCTATATGTTGTCGAGGTCGACATCGGCTCCCCCTTCTTCACGATGCACAGCTGCCTCGGGGAGCCTGGAGAAGGGATCTTTCCCGAGAAACAGTCTTAGCCCAGGACAGCCGAGGGAACCGGAGGGGCCGAGGCCCAAAACAAATCCATCACACTTAATGATGGTTTCGAACAGCCTTTGCCTCCTCGGATCCCTTCCCCTACTCCCCCCAGCCTCAGCGGTGACATTCCTCCCAGCCTTCCCAACATTCTTACCAGGGTGCCAGACACCGAACTTGATGAAATCCTTAGTGTCGGAGAGGAGGCACTTATGAGGCGTGGAGGGCTCGGCAGAGAAGAAGCTGACGACAGAGAGTCAGAGGGCTAAGGAGGTTCCAGAGCTTCTTAGTTTCCCTGCTTTGTATTTGTTCTCTTTTTCTTTGTTATGTAAATCCTTCTTCTTTGTATGCTTCTAGAGACGCAAAGCCCCATTTCTATCAATGAAATTTTCTTTCCTCTATGTTATGATCTTTATTTTGCTAAACTGTTCCTCTCACTTTAGGCTTATAAAATGCTTTGAAAAATGCACAAGTATTTTGGGGTCTCCATGCCAGATTTATACCCCTCAGGGCCGTGACCTTGACGATCGAGCACTAGACTCGTTAATCTTTTAAGGGCGTTGCTCCAATGATAGAGTCTTACACCCTTCGGGGTCGTGCCCCTAACGACTGAGCATTAGGCTCGTGTTAATCTTTCGAGAGCATTGCTACAAGGGTGGATTCTTACACCCCTAAGGGTCGTACCCTTAATGACCGAGCGCTAGGCTCATGTTAATCTTTCAAGAGTTTTGCTCCAAGGGTGGAGTCTTACACCCCCTCGGGGTTATGCCCTTATTGACCAATTGTTAGGCTCATGTTAATCTTTCGAGGGTGTTACTCCAAGGGTGGAGTCTTACACCCCTCGGGGCCATACTCCTAACGACCAAGCACTAGGCTCGTGTTAATCTTTAGAGGGCGTTGCTCCAAAGGTAGATTCTTACACCCCTCGAGGTCGTGCCCTTAACGACAGAGCGCTAGGCTTGTGTTAATCTTTCGAGGGCGTTGCTCCAAAGGTAGAGTCTTACACCCCTCAGGGTCGTGCCCCTAACGATCGAGCGCTAAACCCGTGTTACTCTTTCGTCAAGAAACAGAGCTCGATATTCAACTTAGTAGAAATATTTCTTCAAATTCGATACATTCCAAGGTTTAATTAAATTATTGCCATCTATGTCCTATAACCTATATGCACCTATGCCCCCCACAACAATCACTTTGTAAGGGCCTTCCTAATTGGGGCCAAGTTTCCCATCAGTGGGTTCTTGAGCAATACCTACCCCCTTGAGCAACACCAAGTCTCCTACTTGGAAATTTGTAGTCTGGACCTTC